ATGCTTCTGGTATTGACGTATATGCTGCCCCTGTCTTCATGTTGTTGCTGGACATATCTTTTTTAAATGTGTGTAGGTCACCTAAATCATCAGAAAAATTGCCCCCCCTGAGAATTTTTTCAGGAGCCGCCACTGGCGCCCACTAAATGGGCCTACTAACAGGCAAACAAAATTAAAACCCACACCAAACTTAAGACAGGAACAAACCAAAAAAGTGGAGCAAAACGGGAAAAAAGGGAAGATCAGACAAAGGAATGTTTTTCTAGAAATCAAATAGGGAGAGCCAACTTAAAAAGGTGTTGACCCTCCACATCTCTCAAGACAACTGGTGCACTGGCCAGCCACTCTTAAATAGCACCTGGGCCAGCACAGGTGAAACACCTTCCCACTAACGAGATGGCAACGAAGTGACACGAATCGGTGCGCCCAACCTGAAAACATAAATGGAAAAACCAAAGCCTGTAACAATAGAAAGACGCATAACGTGGGAAATACTGGTTTGAGCATTAGTGCAAAGACACTCATACATTTAGTTAATACCCTTTGCAAGTTGGTGTCAGCTCGTGCTGGCTACATTGCAGAATAGGAACTAACTAGCAATCGCACGACTGAAACAAGCTAGCTAAATAAATCTACACATTAAAAAGAGATGACGAAATAGAAAAACTTAAATGTAAGTAACAAATTGTAACTTGTACCATACCTGTCCGTTATTCAATGTTCAAAGCAGAAGCACCTTCACGTTGTAACGAATGCTCAGGGCGCAGCCATCTTCGATTAAACAGACACACTGGTGAGCGCGCCACCAACAATGCTGCCACCTACTGTGTTGGAGGGAAACTGAGGAATAGCATTCAGCAGAGCAAAGGAGCACTAAACACGATGATACTCTGAGGCCTACAGTACGTGCTATCAAATAAAGAAGCTGTATAAGACAGAAGTATTTGTTGTATTTTCAAATACCTACTAATTAATAAAAAAAAGATATTCAAAACAACACTGACTGGCTTGAATAGAGTTGCTAGATCAATATTACTCTTGGGTATCATCATTAGGCATAGCTTTAAAGGGGCAGTGCAGTCAACACCGTGATTTCCTGTTTTTCCACACTATGAGGTCGAAATAACACTATGAAATTGTGAACATTTTGATAATGCCCTTTTAGTGTAAGAGCTTTTTGAGAGATAAAAAACACCTGGAATTTCAGCCGGTTCCGGTGGGGTGTAGTTTTTGGTCCACAGCATGACATCACAATCTGATCTGATTATTCTGACCAATGACCAGTCATCTTTTATTTGCATATGTATCCTCCTTCTTTGATGGGGTAAGCGGGGTAGGCTTTAGAGCAGTGGTTCCCAACCTGGGGTACTTGTGCTATCCACAAGGGGTACTTGGGAAAACTCATAAGAGTGACCATAGGCCTACTGGTAAAATGCACATGAGGGGGTACTTTGTGGGTTCTCCAGACAGAGCAAATGTGATTTGGGGTACAGTAACCAAAAAAGGTTTCCCAAACTCAGAGCAGGGTTTCCCAAACTCGGTCCTGTGACCCCTCCTGGGTGCACGTTTTGGTTTTTGCCCTAGCACTACAAAGCTGATTAAAAGAATCCAAGCTTGATGAGTTGGTTATTTGAATCAGCTGTGTAGCGCTAGGGCAAAAACCAAAACTTGCATGCAGGTGGGGGCCCAGGACAGAGTTTGAGAAACCCTGGTCTAGACGATCCTATCCGCCAATCAAATCAAATCAAATCAAAATGTATTGGCCACATGCGCCGAATACAACAGGTGTAGACATTACAGTGAAATGCTTACTTACAGCCCTTAACCAACAATGCATTTATTTTTTAATAAAAAAGTAAAATAAAACAACAAAAAAGTGTTGAGAAAAAAAGAGCAGAAGTAAAATAACAGTAGGGAGGCTATATATACAGGGGGGTATCGGTGCAGAGTCAATGTGCGGGGGCACCAGCTAGTTGAGGTAGTTGAGGTAATATGTACATGTGGGTAGAGTTAAAGTGACTATGCATAAATAATTAACAGAGTAGCAGCAGCGTAAAAAGATGGGGTGGGGGGCAGTGCAAATAATAATATTAATAATATGCCATTTAGCAGACGCTTTTATCCAAAGCGACTTACAGTCATGCGTTGCATACATTTTTTTTTTGTGTATGGGTGGTCCTGGGGATCGAACCCACTACCTTAGCGTTACAAGCGCCGTGCTCTACCAGCTGAGCTGCAGAGGACCACAAATAGTCTGGGTAGCCATGATTAGCTTTTCAGCAGTCTTATGGCTTGGGGGTAGAAGCTGTTGAGAAGTCTTTTGGACCTAGACTTGGCACTCCGGTACCGCTTTCCGTAAGGTAGCAGAGAGAACAGTCTATGACTAGGGTGGCTGGAATCTTTGACAATTTTGAGGGCCTTCCTCTGACACCGCCTGGTATAGAGGTCCTGGATGGCAGGAAGCTTGGCCCCAGTGATGTACTGGGCCGTACGCACTACATTCTGTAGTGCCTTGCGGTCGGAGGCCGAGCAGTTGCCATACCAGGCGGTGATGCAACCAGTCAGGATGCTCTCGATGGTGCAGCTGTATAATTTTTTGAGGATCTGAGGACCCATTCCAAATCTTTTCAGTCTCCTGAGGGGGAATAGGCTTTGTCGTGCCCTCTTCACGACTGTCTTGGTGTGTTTGGACCATGATAGTTCGTTGGTGATGTGGACACCAAGGAACTTGAAGCTCTCAACCTGTTCCACTACAGCCCCGTCGATGATAAAACATTTTCCTGTAGTCCACAATCATCTCCTTTGTCTTGGTCACGTTGAGGGAGAGGTTGTTATCCTGCCACCACACGGCCAGGTGTCTGACCTCCTCCCTGTAGGCTGTCTCATCGTTGTTGGTGATCAGGCCTACCACTGTTGTGTCGTCGGCAAACTTAATGATGGTGTTGGAATCGTGCCTGGCCATGCAGTCATGGGTGAACAGGGAGTACAGGAGGGTTACTGAGCATGCACCCCTGAGGGGCCCCCGTGTTGAGGATCAGTGTGGCAGATGTGTTGTTACCTACCCTTACCACCTGGGGGCGGCCCATCAGGAAGTCCAGGATCCAGTTGCAGAGGGAGGTGTTTAGTCCCAGGATCCTTAGCTTAGTGATGAGCTTTGAGGGCACTATGGTGTTGAATGCTGAGCTGTAGTCAATGAATAACATTCTCACGTACGTGTTCCTCTTGTCCAGGTGGGAAAGGGCATTGTGGAGTGCAATAGAGATTGCATCATCTGTGGATCTGTTGGGGCGGTATGCAAATTGGAGTGGGTCTAGGGTTTCTGGGATAATGGTGTTGATGTGAGCCATGACCAGCCATTCAAAGGCAGGGTTGTGTATGTAAATATATTTAAAGTTAATAAGATAAATTATATATTTGGAGTTATTTTCATGGACATACAGTGATGATTTAAAAATACATTTAAAAAGACTGCATGGGGGCTTTAAAAAAAACTGTCCAGTGAAAATCTTACTTTTAAAAGTTTAAATTGTGTTAACTCATACCCAAATAATGTTGTTGACTCATCCTATACTCATATGTGGCCAAAGCATAAATTGGAGAGAAAAAAACACTTTAGAAAGACCCTACCTCAAACTTGTATCTGAAACAGACAGTTTAAATAAATGCTTGCTATTTACTCAGAGGATGATGTCATCCTCCTGAGGAGGATGAGCTGGCCAATCAGCGGTCTACATGCGTTAATATTTCTTATGACCGGTATACGCCCACACCATTCTGTTGTTGGGGTACGTCCACACCATTCCAACACTGAAAAGCTGCCTTTTAACCTACTTTAACATTTTTGGTGAAGGAAAACTATTATTTCACTCATATTGTAAGGTTCTATTTCATAGACATCTGGAAACTCTGAACAATTACTTTAAAGTCTAACTAGCAAACTAATTATATTTTTTGTTGTTGTCTGTGAACATTAAAAATGCTCAACATAGAGAAAGTCGTTAAAACTAATTAATCCCATATGGCAGGACTGGAAGAATCCATATTCAGAAGAGAGAATATACCTACCACACAATCTAAAGCATAACAGGCATATGTCTGAGGCTGCATTTACACAGGCAGCCCAATTCTGATATTTTTGCCATGAATTGGTCTTACAACCAATCATATCAGATATTTTCATATCAGCTCTTTTTCAGAGCTGATCTGATTGGTCAAAAGGCCAATTAGTGAAAAAAGATCAGAATTGGGCTGCCTGTGTAAATGCAGCCAAAGAAGCAAGGAAAATCTAATTTTATATAAAATTGCTTTATTAATAAGGCACTTAATTTTTGAACATCAACACCCAATTGTCACATTGTGTCTTTGCAAGCTTTCTTTTAGAAAAAAATGGCATGTGTGTGTAATTACTAGAAATTCCCAGAACCCAATGCCATAAAATATGAACAGCTTTCATCAAATGCTTCTTGTTTAAACACATCTCCCCACACATCTTTCAACTATGAAAGTGCTCAAAGTGCTCAAAAACCTTTAGGACAAAACATTTTATTCAAAGTGCTCTGTGTGTCCCTACCAGTGAAATCAACTCAAACCATCGAAATAAAAGTACATTTATGCCCCCTCTGAGTTTGACAATGGAGTACATCGTTACCATCTCGATAGCAAATGTTTCTATTTTCTACACTGGTAGAGGATATTTTAACTTAAATAACTTCACGTTAGTGTGCTGATGTTGCCAAATACATAACACATTATCAACTTATTTAATAGTCAACATATGATACATTTGAAATAATAGGCATGATTCACAGCATGTTTAATGCATGAGGTAAAATATACTTTCCTGGAAATGTATCATTAGCGTTCTTTATTATAATACTCCAACCAAGTGTAGACTTAAATACTTAAATGGGACTGTTGTAAGGCATGACAACCAATCAAATAAATAGTTTAATTTTCTAAAACATCAGAACTACAGTTCACTGAACTAAAGTTCATTTAAAAGCATGATTCACCTGAGAACATCTTAAAATGAGTTAGTTGCCGTTGACTTTCTGCAGGGTTACGGCACTCACGTTAAGAGCCTCCTCCCCCGGCAGAAGCTCTTTCAATAGGAATGAAAGCAGCATCTATTGAAAATAAAGTGAAGCAAAAGTTGAGTCAATGTTTCTACAAACTGTACAAGAAAGTCTAGACATCTATTTTTATGACATTTGACAGACATCAAATAGAGAGCCAGCACTGCAACATTGATGAGAGGACATTGACATATTGACACCAGAGTTCTCTCTTCCAGTGCTCTCCACAGAAACTCAAGAGGCTAGATACTCACATAGACCAGCTTCTTGTTTTCTTCACAGTCCTGGAAGAGCTTAAACACGATCTCCATATCGGTCTTCTTCAAGATTAAATAGTTTGAATCTATAATGAGAACATGATGTTAGTGAACTGTGACACTTCACGCATTTCCGTCTTAGAATGAAAAGCATAACTCTAGAAGCTGTGCTGATGAGAGTGAAAAACAGGGTAGATCCTGTACATCTGGCATTGATGAGGTGGTGAGCTCGGTCTTTGGTCTCATTCTTCTCCTCACTGCTGCGATTGGGTTTGGGTTTGGTCACCTCTGGCGAGCCCTCAGGCCACTGTTTCTCACATAGGTTGTCGATATAGGAGGCCATCTGGGCTTCCGTTGGGTTCATCTTATTCAAGAAGCTGTTCACTTTCCTAAAAGAGATTATCAAAAGTTAATGCTGGGATTCTCAAAAGGCCAAATGTAGGTCATCCTATTATTCTGTCAGTATGACGAACCAGGACTGCAGTGGAAAATGGGAGAATATTTCACCTCTTACTTTTTCAATATCGGCATGACGGGTTTCAGAATCGCATCAAATATGTTCAGGAGGATGGAATTACCTGGAGGGAAAAGTAGGGCGCTGATTATTACACACTAGTATAGGTGACTCTGATTAAAATATAAACATCTAACATTACAATTTCTAACAAATTAGGAAGTGAGAACTAACCAGATATTGCTTTCAACAAATCAAAAATGGCTTTGGTTGCTTCCATTTGCTCCCAGCTGGATTGGTCCTTTTTCAAACACTGTGAGTCTTCTAATTTTGACTGACTCCCCATGTCCTTTCCTTTACTCCTGTGGATCCCTCCTGACATTTTGAAAGTGAGTTTCTCCATTTTATCCGACTTTCCAACTAAATGACGCCATGACGGACTGTCAGTGAGGTAACATTGCGAGCCTCCATTTTGACTGGAATGTCGCGGCCTACATACAGAGTCGCTCTGGTCTTCAGGGTTGTCTGATTTCGTTTGGGCCAGACACTCCTCTGATCTGGATAGCTCTTTGATCATCATCTTTAGGTGAGAAGTTACGGGGTTCTCCGATTCCTCTATTTTGTCCTCTGTTTTGTCTGCATTAACCAAAGAGTCTGATTTCTCTACTGGTACCATCGCTTTACCTCTGCAGCACTCAATGGAACTGGGTTCTGAAGGAGAATCATCACATTGGAAGATGATAGAATGGACTCGGGCCAGGCCATCCCTTGTATCGCCAATGTTTTCATCCAGCTTCTCAGTTGCAGTTGGGTCTGCAGCCTCGGTTGTGTTGGAATCATCTGGTTTGGTCCCTCTTTGAAGAGTGTTGTGCGTGTCCTGAAAAATGCAATGTGCATTGCAATACCTTTACAAATACGGACTGACTGCTGAAGATTCACAGCTGCTGTGATTTCTTAATGCACCAGCAGAGGGCATTATTTGCCATTTGTGGTGACATGATACAAGATGACCTTGCAGGCCTGCTCAACATGATTTTAAAATGCCTACCTCATCTTCCTCTCGGCCTGGAGTCAGGAAGTAGGCCAGACCACTGAGGAGGCCCCACACTCCCCCCACATGCTCCTCTTCACTCAGCAGCTTGTCCAGAGGACACAGGAACTGAAACACTGGCTGAGTGTGGCCCATCAGAGCATCAGACACCAGCTCCTGGAGAGGGCATGGGGATTAAGATATTCTTTTTTTTTTTATCATACCATGTGCATTTCTGCTTGTGTCTGAAGTGTGCCAGTGTACCTGTAAGAAGAGCTTGAGGGACGTTCTGGCTTCTTCTCTAAAATCCTCGCTGTTACTCTCAGTGCTCGCTTCTAACACGGATAGGGAGGGTAAATTAGCAGAGTCCTAAAGAAAATAAAAAATATATACAAACCAGAGAAAAATTACAAAGAAAGATATTTAAGAATGATGATGTGTGATATAATTATATGATATGGCTCCATATTGAGGATGCAAAAGAGACATGTGTCAAAAGAGACTGTACACTCAAAAACATTGCAAATGCTAATAGTCTATCTAATTGTGCAACATCCCATAAAATGTCAGATATCGTTTATGCCAGTTAAATTAAATTAAACAGTGCAGTATCTGATGCATTCCAAACTCCTACAGCAGTCTGTTTTGACAACAACGTTGCTTTATTTGTCATCACGAGACACAGAAAAAGAAGGGTAACACTTCTTCTACAAATATATAACTGGATGCATTGGTACCATTTCTCAAAAACCTTTTACATTGAATTCAATACCAAACAGCATAGTGGCTTTACCTAATTTCAATGGCCATGAGGTTACATAGTAAAGTGGTACCTTGTGGAACACAATTGCAACAATACAATCTCCCTCTTCATCCGTCTCTAACCTGCCATAGGTTGCGGAAATGGATAATGTCTGTCTGGGTCTTCCTCACATCCCAGTGAAGGTTCTCAGGGTTGTCCCTCTCCTCCAGGTGAACTGTGAAACACATCTCCTCATTTTCCCTCTCCATCTACAGACAGTAACATCTTACTTTACACACAATTCTGGCGCAAACATGAACAGATAATAGAACGACCAAGGACATGTCTTCACAAAGCTCAGTTTCATATTTAGCAGTAGTTGCATTCCACAGTGACTTGTGTGTGATTTGTGACTCACACGAGGGACGCTGACAGCCCAATGGCCAACCCGCCACATCTCATATGACAGCTTGAATTCCATCATGTCTTCTTGAACGCTGGTCAAGTAGCTCTCCAGATCACCATCCACCTGGTGAACCAAACCAATTACAAAATAAAACGTCAGCCGTGTTACGTTTCAACCTCACTATAAATAGAGCATTGTTTGGGGTGAATCATAGAGGGCATCCAGAAATATGTGTTTTTTGGTTTATTATCTTCTATTGGATAGATGGCAAAACATGTACTGTCTGGAAGATAGTAAATACAATTTATAAAATCTATAACATTTTATATTAAAAAATATTTGAGAAGAGTGAAGTGTTGTGCTGACTGCAGACTTGCTCTATCTGGTGCAGTGTCCTTACGCTGTCGGAGTCCTGCTGGCTCTGGATGGAGCCCTCCCGGCTACTCCCTTCAATTTCGTTTGACGGACAATCCTGGATGGACTTGGCTCTGACCACCAGCACCTGCTCCTTTTTCTTCATTGTCTTCCTTTTAGCTTTCTTCGATTTCATCTTGTCAAGGAATTTAGACCAGCCTTCCTTCAATTTGTTGGCTGGAAAAACCACATATCCGGTTAGCTAAGTTTCCACATTTTCATGGCCTTTATTATGTCACAAGTTGACTGCAAACTGCAATAACCTTAAGACAAAGGGGAAACAAAACAAACATACAAAAATTAAAATAAAAATCATGGCACAAACAGAATCAACTGGACACAAACTAAATAAACTTTGTTTTGGTCCAGTTAATGTTGTTTGTGCCAAACACACTCCGTTTCAATTTAGCTTAGTTATTGTTTCAAATAGACACACCCACACCTTTCTTTTTGGACTTGCCGTCACCGGTTTGAGCATTCTCGGTTTCTTCCGGTGTTCTAAAATGGCCACTAAACAAAACCAAAGCACAATTGATTTATCCTTGTTCTCAGGCACAACACCCTAACAGCACTGAAGCGTGTTTACTAAAGAAAAGAGAGGCAGCCTGGTAAGAAAAGGGTCACTCACGCTCCACTGGCCTGGCTCTCCAGGGAGGCTGGAGATGCCCTGATAGAGTCAGAATCACACAGCTCCTCCACAGAGCTCATGGGGGTCACTCCATCCAGCTGACTCACAACCAGCTGGTTGAGGTTGTCAGGGTCTGAGAGCCACCGCACCAGCAGGTCCAGCACTGGGGGCATGGATGACAAAGTCAATGTGATGGGCTATACAGAGTAAAGTCACATGGTAGGACAAAGCCATGTTCAACATACATAGGGAAAACACAAACACACTTAGTCTCAGAATTACTGAGACACTTTCCACTTGTTTCGCTTTTATACTAATGGCCACCTCCAGTATCCACCATTATCCATGTCTAACAGGCAAAAAAAACTGGTGATAACTTTCAAGACTCATTGAACATTATTGAGATCCAATAGAAGTTACAGATGCAGAATATAGAAGTGAATGTAAACAGTAAAATCCCTTCCTATTACTAAGCCATACATTTAATTGTTCAACCCATTTCACTGACTCCTGTGATCAGAGCCACTGAAGGCCACTGACCATTATCTGTAGGTTTCAATGATAACACCCTGTGTTAGCTTTCCTCTAAGGAGAGCCCTTATTTTATTTGCAGCACAGTACGTGCAGTATTTCTAATCTCTATCCATGACTGAATTGTTTGATGCTAATTTGTTCTCGTTTTCAAAAAGTTGAGCGATGAGAGAATACCTGAGGCACTGATAGGCCTATGTTGTGGGGCTTACCTTTTAAGGCAACAATCTCATTTAAGGCACAGTGGCTGACTGCCAGCCCCCAAAGGGACTGAGGGAAAAAGTTTCGCACCAGTGCTTGAGAGAACACTCTTAGAACTTCAACCTCCTCTCCTCTAGAGCTAAACAATGGTTCTCTGAAAGAGAGCGAGCAAAACAGACAGAGACAAAGTTAATAAAAATACAATTTTTGGACTAATGACTATGTAGATAAATGACATTAGGACAGAGCATTACAAATGTATTAGTGAGAAATTCTATCACCTCAATACAGGTCATTGTTCCAACATGTGAAAACGTACATAGTTCCCTAGCTAGGTCACATGAAATCTATCAAAAACATGCATTACACCCAATAAAAGGTTGAAGTTCAGAACTTCGATTGATAATGATTTATCCTAAACAATAAAATATACCGTATTTTCCGCACTATAAGGCGCACCGGAGTATAAGCCGCAGCAGCTAAATTTAATGATATTGAATGATGTGTACATATATAAGCCGCACTGGACTATAAGCCGCAGGTGTTTTAATGTTTAATTACTATATGTAAGGGTTCGTGCACAGAGTGGATTGTCGGGAAAGAGACAAACTGTCTCGCTCTCGTAATGTCTGTCTGTCTTGCTCTCGTTCTGTCTCTCGTACCACTCTCGGTTCCACTTTTACTTTTGCGCGCTACCCGTCTCACTCTTTTCCGGCCTCCAGCTTTTCCTGCTGGAGCCCGCCGCTTAAAGGTGGGGGGCGCGGACCGGTCATAGAGCCCATAGAGTTAAAGTTGGTGGACTGTAACCTGTAAAATCCATAGATTTAGGAGGTCTTCTAGTGGCCGTTAGCTGTAAAAATCCATAGATTAGCCGCACCGTTATATAAGCCGCAGGGTCGAAAAATGGGAAAAAAGGCGCGGTTTATAGTCCGAAAATTACGGTACATAAACCACTTCAACAGTACAGGCAAGTGATATAGCTGGAGAACGGCAACTTAATATGTATTCTACTAGTGACTTCAGGAGAGCCGCATTACCTATCAGACTGTTTGGCATTATGGAGGTGCTGGGTCAGGATGCGAATGCAGCCCACACTTGCTGCACAGACATCAAAGTCTTTGCCTCTGCTGATGACTTGATTGATGACTTGATCAAACTCCCTCCACAGCACCTGGTGCAGGAGTTGACTGTCACAGGGCTCAGGGACGCAGTACCAGGGCAGGACTAGCTGGGCGTAGGCACACTCAAACACTGAGAACACACATTCAAAATCAACACAAAAGCAAGACAGCTGCCATGGACAAAAATAACAAACATTTAAAAGAGCCCTGAGTATTGCAAGCGATAAGCTAGGCTACATATTGTGCGGTTTGAAGTGAGCTGTGTTCATCTTAGCAGGATTGTCAAAACCACTTCCTGACAGAAAACAGTCCAAACCTGTCTGAGTATGCCTTATACAAAATATGCTAACCAAGTCGTTCCATTTCCTCTTTTATGCACAACCACTTGGTAAAACAACCCCCGCTTTCCATATTCCAAAGCATAGCACATTGAAAGGATGTTATTTTTGTGTGTCTATTCCCCCAACATCTTTGATACCCAAGCCCCTCCCAGATCATGTAACATCAGATATGTCTGCAGCCGCATTTGCTGTCTTATTCAACTGGCACAGAACACAGACCTACATTTGGCTGACCACATACACTAAGGTAAAGGGAAGAATCTCGGCACAAATGTTTCCGTTATTCGTCCTTGTCTTGTTATTAAGAGATCTTAATAATAGACATTACTTTACAAATCTCTCACCCTGGCAGAAAGCCAGACAGGCTGATTGACAAAAATGTTCTAAGTTATAATGGCAAATTCTGTAAGGACCTCAGCTCATGCAGAGCACAATTACACACCTTGCTGAAGAGACCTCTTCACACTGGGAAACTGTGTCTCCTGTGATGTTTCAGCTTCAGTGCTTGTTGTATCAGTCACATCACAACCTAAATGTTCATCCTTTAGTGTTTGCTGTAAAACAATTCAGAAGGGATTATAGTGTTTTGACATCATTCATTCCTTACCATCTAGATTAAGCCAAGTAGAAAGATGGCACTACGTCCTTATAGCATGTTTACACAGCAAGAAACCGGCTAAACTACAAAGAGTAATGTGCCTGGAAGGTGGCGCTTCACCTTTGCGTATGGCAACACCATTATTTATCGGTTGTTGTCATTGCACATCTTTCATCGCCAATGTGTATATTCAACTCTCACCTTATTTTCCCTTCCACTTGCAAAAATATTGGAAATTTTCCACCAGCTATATATAGGGCATGAGGAGGTCCATGTCAAAAAACATTTCATTATCATTTCAATTAATACGTTTAGTGTAATTTGATACCACAACTACTTGACAACAGTTATCGTTCATGGTCTAACGATTTGTAATAGATCACAGACTGACAATCAGTTGAAATATTAAAATGTTTGGTGGTATTAATAACTTTTCACTGACATGATTCATAAGGTTGTTTCATTGGGTCATTTTGTAAACAAAAGTAACGTGCATGGCTCACGCCATGTTACATTGAATCTCATGACGAGCGTTACATTGTAGCGATGATGATGATCTCTAAGACAGACGAAAAAATAACACCTGCAATTGAACAGTCAATCGTATGAAATGCATCGGACTACTTAAATTACCTGAAATGAGTTGTCTTCAGCCACATCGTCTGTTTGAGTGGCGCTTTCCCGTCCGGTCTTTATTAAGAAATTAGGGGTTGATGGGCAAAATAGTAAACACAAAACGATTTGAGCCACTACCTGTCCGCAGTCCGAAAAATACCAAACAAGCCCAAGAATCATGGCGATGGAGAAGCGCCACAGGTACATTTTCTATCTTTGCAAGACACCAGTCACATTCCTTCCACTATGAAGTTTCCAATCGTGTAGCTTTTCAAACTTAAAATGTAGATCTTTATCTACAAAAACATTCATTCATGGAGTTACGGCAAAGGCCAATTTCAACTCGCTTGTCTTGAAAAAAACATTAAGAAAAACAACCCAGTGCACCCAGAGGAGGGCTCTGATTGGTCAGAATGATGGTTTTTAGTATTTGGGTATCTGCAACTGATTATGGCATGCCATCTATAGGCCATAGTTGGATCAACTGTGCTTGCCTACGTTTGTTAAAATTCGAAAGTAATTTAAAATGACTGACGAAGGTAAAAGTCTGATGTAGCACGCGCCACCTGTTTCCAGAGGCGAATGGAAAACAACAAAACTAAAAGATTAAAGGTCACATTTTCCCCCGCTCAATATGTTTCACTTCTTTTTAACCACCAGTATTATTTTAGCCTCCCACAAGCTTGGAACAGATGGACTGGGGCTTAATCCAGTGATCCCCTGGGTGAGTGCTTAAATTCTGCCATAAAAATCTGGACCTCTAGGTCAGAGACCGAGGGAAAATTGATTTTATATTGGATATTCGGTTTTCTCTCGTCAATAACTATTGAACCAAGCATGCTATGACTACGAAGATGGTATATTCTATATCAGGGGTGGATGGAGAACCAACCACACCTTTTTTTTGTGAAAAAACAAGAAATTGTATTTCAATCTTCTATTGCTCTTACACAATGCGTGCCATGATAATGATATATTCTGTATCAGAAGAGGATGGACAAAAATCCTTGTTTTTATATACAATATATATATATATATACTACCAGTCAAAAGTTTTAGAGCACCTACTCATTCAAGGGATTTTCTTAATTTTTAAAAATGTCTACATTGTAGAATAATAGTGAAGACATCAAAACTATGAAATAACACATATGGAATCATGTAGTAACCAAAAAATAGTTAAACAAATCAAAATATATTTTAAATTTGAGATTCTTCAAAGTAGCCACCCTTTGCCTTGATGACAGCTTTGCACCCTCTTGGCATTCTCTCAACCAGCTTCACCTGGAATGCTTTTCCAACAGTCTTGAAGGAGTTCCCACATATGCTCAGCACTTCTTGGCTGCTTTTCCTTCACTCTGCAGTCTGACTCATCCCAAACCATCTCAATTTGGTTGAGGTCGGGGGATTGTGGAGGCAGCACTCCATCACTCACCTTCTTGGTAAAATAGCCCATTGTCCTGTTGAAAAACAAATCATAGTCCCACTAAGCCCAAACTAGATGGGATGGTGTATCACTGCAGAATGCTGTGGTAGCCATGCTGGTTAAGTGTGCCTTGAATTCTAAATAAATCACAGACAGTGTCACCAGCAAAGCACCCCCACACCATAACACCTCCTCCATGCTTTACGGTGGGAAATACACATGCGGAGATCATCCGTTCACCCACACCATTTCTCACAAAGCCACGGTGGTTGGAACCAAAAATCTCAAATTTGGACTCCAGACCAAAGGACAAATTTCCACCGGTCTATGGTCCATTGCTCGTGTTTTTTGGTCCAAGCAAGTCTCTTCTTCTTATTGGTGTCCTTTAGTAGTGGTTTCTTTGCAGCAATTCGACCACGAAGGCCTGATTCACACAGTCTCCTCTGAACAGTTGATGTTGAGATGTGTCTGTTACTTGAACTCTGTGAAGCATTTATTTGGGCTGCAATTTCTGAGGCTGGTAACTCTAATGAACTTATCCTCTGCAGCAGAGGTAACTCTGGGTCTTCCTTTCCTGTGGCGGTCCTCATGAGAGCCAGTTTCATCATAGCACTTGATGGTTTGTGCGACTGCACTTGAAGAAACTTTGGATTGACTGACCTTCATGTCTTAAAGTAATGATGGACTGTAGTTTCTCTTTGCTTATGTGAGCTGTTCTTGCCATAGACTTGGTATTTTACTAAATAGGGCTATCTTTTATGTATACCACCCCTACCTTGTCACAACACAACTGATTGGCTGAAACACATTAAGAAGGAAAGAAATTCCACAAATTAACTTTTAATATGGTACGCCTGTTAATTGAAATGCATTCCAGGTGACTACCTCATGAAGCTGGTTGAGAGAATGCCAAGAGTGTGCAAAGCTGTCATCAAGGCAAAGGATGGCTATTTGAAGAATCTGAAAGAAATAATATATTTTGATTTGTTTAACACTTTTTTGGGTACTACATGATTACATATGTGTTATTTCATAGTTTTGATGTCTTCACTATTATTCTACGATGTAGAAAATATTAAAAATAAAGAAAAACCCTGGAATGAGTAGGTGTGTCCAAACTTTTGACTGCTACTGTATATATACACATACATACACACAGTGCCTTTGGAAAGTATTCAGACCCCTTGACTTTTTCCACATTTTGTTACGTTACAGCATTATTCTAAAATTGATTAAATTGTTTTTTCCCCTCATCAATCTACACACATTATCCAATAATGACAAAGCAAAAACATAAATTTTTGCTAATATATTACATAACAAAAACAGAAATATCACATTTACATAAGTATTCGGACCCTTTACTCAGTACTTTGTTGAAGCACCTTTGGCAGCGATTACAGAATCGAGTCTTCTTGGGTATGACACTACAAGCTTGGAACACCTGTATTTGGGGAGTTTCTCCCATTCTTCTCTGCAGATCCTCTCAAGCTCTGTCAGGCTGGATGGGGAGGGTTGCTGCACAGCTATTTTTAGGTCTCTCCAGAGATGTTAGATCGGGTTCAAGTCTGGGCTCTTGCTGGGCCACTCAAGGACATTCAGAGACTTGTCCCGAAGCCACTCCTGCGTTGTCTTGGCTGTGTGCTTAGGGTCGTTGTCCTGTTGGAAGGTGAACCTTCTCCCCAGTCTGAGGTCCTGAGCACTCTGGAGCAGGTTTTCATCAAGGATCTCTCTGTACTTTCCTCCGTTAATCTTTGCCTCGATCCTGACTAGATTCCCAGTCCCTGCCGCTGAAAAACATCCACACAGCATAATGCTGCCACCACCATGCTTCACCGTAGGGATGGTGCCAGGTTTCCTCCAGACGTGACGCTTGGCATTCAGGCCAAAGAGTTCAATCTTGGTTTCTTTATGTGCCTTTTGACAAACACCAAGCGGGCTGTCATGTGCCTTTTACTGAGGAGTGGTTTCTGTCTGGCCACTCTACCATAAAGGCCTGATTGGTGGAGTGCTGCAGAGATGGTTGTCCTTCTGGAAGGTTTTCCCATCTTCACAGAGGAACTCTAGAGCTCTGTCAGAGTGACCATCGGGTTCTTGGTCACCTCCCTGACCAAGGCCCTTCTCCCCCGATTGCTCAGTTTGGCCGGGCGGCCAGCTCTAGGAAGAGTCTTGGTGGTTCCAAACTTCTTCCATTTAAGAATGATGGAGGCCACTGTGTTCTTGGGGTTCTTCAATGCTGCAGAAATGTTTTGGTACTCTTCCCCAGATCTGTGGGGAATTTGGAATACATTTGCAAAAAAAATGTAAAACAATTTGACGAACTGACCTGCTGGAAAGGTGGCATCCTATGACGGTGCTACGTTGAAAGTCACTGAGCTCTTCAGTAAGGCCATTCTATTGCCAATGTTTCTCTATGGAGATTGCATGGCTGTGTGTTCGATTTTATACACCTGTCAGCAATTAATCCACAAATTTGAAGAGATGTCTACATACTTTTGTATGTATAGTGCATATTCTTTTTTACACAACGCATTCCATGACTATGAACATTATACAGTGCCTTGCAAAAGTATTCATCCCCCTTGGCGTTTTTCCTATTTTGTTGCATTACAACCTGTAATTTAAATTGATTTTTATTTGGATTTCATGTAATGGACATATACAAAATAGTCCAAATAGTTAAAATAAAATATTACAAAAGCGGATTGTTCTCCATCCACCCGATTCAGAATATACCATCTTCATAATCATGGCATGCTTGGTTCAATAGCTATTGAGGAGAGAAAACCCGAATATCCAATATAAAACTAATTTTACCTCGGTTAGGCAGAGGCTGTAATACCATATAAGTCAATGTGTACATTCACATACAGGGGGGATAACATCTCTTTGGTTGTTTTCCCCAAATATCCTCATGTTTTCCCATCAAGTTCATTTGATATTACGACCATAATGACACTTTTTTTCCTTGGTGGATCCAAGCTTGTGCTGTATTTTGTTTAATTAACCACAAATTGCAAGTGTAGTGCCAAACAGAGACCTGAGACTGTTCAGGATGTGCGGCCTGAACTGGGCACTGGTCTGGCCTAAGGACAGGCTGACCCATGAAAACAATTACTTGTTATGGCTACAATAACAGTTGTACAAGTAAAGCTTCCCAGAAACCTGAAGGAGGCCACTGATCACCAGGCCAACCAAAGTTTGCATGTTTTTTTAAATGTGGTAAGCTTCTTGGCTGCAAAATATAGTTGTGGACACAAGTTAAAATCCTGGGTATCTGTTACACACTGACTATACCTTTCTTATTAAGATACCTCTCTAGGACACCTCTTACTTCATCATAATCAAAAAACAAAGGACAATTGTTTATGTTTGGTTGTCATATGAGACTTTGTAAACAAATGATAGAAATCATGTTTTAAAAAATTAATAATGCTCTCATGGAATGTCATTTCTTGAGCACTACATATTTATCATAGAAATAAAGTGTGAAAATGTCAAGGAATGCTTTTGCTCCATCATTTACTATTTTGTTGTTGGTGACCCACTCTTTGGTGCTATGCTAACGGTGTGTAAAGGGAATAGATAAAATGCAAATAACAGATTCATCACATGACACTCTGCATTTCTATGAGCTGGCAGGTAACCATACTGGTGGTGGTAAAATGATGTATAAAAAGACATTCAGATCCTATGTGATGTTAAACATTCAAAGTGCCATTTTAAATATGGAATATAATTAAAATATGAACTAAGTATAGTCTAAATGAGCAACCCCTGGCTCTTTTCCGGTGTTTCTCTCAAATGTATTTTTTTAGTAGGTATATACTTAAGTCTAAGGTGCTGTAGTGATGCAGCTAATTGGCTATATAAAAAAAAATCAAAGTCACTGATCTGATTTGAAACCAATGCTGCGGTTCCATAATCACATTCCTTTCATATCAGTGACGAGCTGAGACGTGGCTGGGGGTGTGTAAATGACGTCATTCAACAGGTCAGGATTATGAAACCGCAGCAGGGCATGCCACGCATGCCCCCAGTGGTGATGAGTAATCTGCTAAAGCCATGTGATCCATCAGCAGGATCTGTTCTTTGACATTAGCTTGTCACCAGTTAAGGGCAGATCAAACCAGTTTCACCTGTAAATAATAACTTACACTGCAAAAATCAACATTTTACATAAAAACAGCCCATACTGTGAGTTATTGTAATATTGGCCTTAGTGCAGTTTTATATCTTTCAAGTTGCAATACACCTTAAGACACTAAAGTCTACTAAACAGTTCAAAGTTGTGGTACTACTGAAAGCGTGCTCGTCTGAGCTCTCGCCAATGACCTCAAATGGGTGTTACCTAAGCCACAAATCTACTTGAATGCCTCCTAATTCAGCTGTAATGATGCAGAGGTGGAAACGGCATGCTGAAACATGACAAGTTACTAACGATTTGGGTAGATCACCAGTCAGGATCAATTCTGGTGTGTCACTAAAGCAATGATTACTTCCTATAACTCCCACACAGCCCAAGGACGATTACAGATACTCCATATCCTGCTGGGTAAATCATGTGTAATCTGATAAAGGCATTGAGAGCTAAATTAAGAGTGTCCTCCATTGTAGAGCGTCGTAGACAATACTAGGTCTACAAAGAGCTCATGACGACATAGGCCTGCCTACTCTGGTAGTTGACATTGGCTGGTGAAGGTAACCCAAGGACAGGGATTACAACCTGATATATTGCAGCCAGCACTGATGTACCGAAGTCTTAACGGTGTAGTTGTGAAAAGTGTAAGGCGCATCCTCACTCTTCTTGATGACATGAGCTTGGAAAGGCTCCCATTCCTTCTTTTTTTGCTGCCGCGATCATGTATCTGGAGGAATCTCAGCCATGTCACTAGTGCAGGATCAAGTCTCGGAGGTAACATGTCAGCACACACAGACTATTTCCTAATAGTACTTTATTTCGACATTCACCCAACATACGTTTTCCAGCTAACTTCTCTAAAATGGAGGGTTGAGTTTGCTTCTCTGCAGTCTATTAACTGGAGCAATGTGGATTGGCACCCAGTCAAACGCACAGGTTCAACATCGAGATCTTTGAGCAGGATTGTGGTTTTATCTAGTTGGCCCCACATACAGGTAACGGTCCAGCAACTCACCAGTTCGAGACGGAAGCGGCTTGAGAGATAGAGTAAATTTAGAAGCCTGAAGTAATCCACTTTGCAACAGGTAATCCTTAGCATTCCTCTCAGCACCAGATGTCAGTTACTTCGTTTATATGAATGAGTAAATTGTGCTCAAACATGCATTTTGCGTCAGGTAAAAACAAGCCACAAGACCGTCTGTAGTTGTTTCTTTCACACCGTCCCTGTTTAGTACCTTCTCACCAGCTTGTATAGATTACACCCACCCAGTCCAAGTTCCAGTCAGCTGACTTTGGCTGGAGCCCAACCACAACTGTCAAGGACAACCCAGCTCTTAAAGTTACACCTCAACGAATAAGACACCAGCTGGCTCTCAAGAGAAACCACAATCAGGGAGAAGCCAGGAGTAACACTACATGCCATTCAGTGTTGCTACTGCCAAGGAAACACACAAACCAAGTGAAAAGCTCATTGTAGGTTCATTCAGTAGGTTGCCTTTATTTTTACAGTATTGACTAGAAACAGACCATCTGGATGAAACAGGTTGACATTTGAAGACCTGGCATTGTAACTTTTTTAAAATGGGAATTACATTCTGGTGAGGGGCAAACAGAAACAAACATTGGGCAAAATAAAAAGCGCAAAACAGATTTCTCCAGTACAACTAGCACAAACATACTAGTTGGTCCCTATAAATAAGGCGGAATTTGACAGTCCTTCCAAATGTACAAGTTATGTTACAGTTTAAACATTTTTTGGGAGACATCTAAAAACAGTTTAGAGGACCTTCTTCAACTCATCGTACAACACCAGCACGAAGGCACCTCCCATGCCTCGGAGAACGTTGGACCAGGCTCCTTTGAAGAAGGCCTTGCCACCCTCATCCCTCGCAATCTTCTTCCAGCAGTCAATGGTGCCAGTGTACATGATGTCACCTGCAAAACAAGCAAAACAGGTCATACCTTTGCCTTGGCTGAATGGTAAGCACAAGCAGTAGCCCACTGTTGGTGGACAGCATGATGGTGAATATACAACTTGATACTAAAATACAGACAAGTGTTCAAAAGTTGACAATTACCTCCTTTACGTCCAGACTGCATCATCATACGACGACGGACAGTATCGAAGGGGTAGGATGTAAGACCGGCAACTGCAGTCACAGACTGAGCGATGGCCCAGCTGACCAAGATGCTTGCATTCTTGGGATCTGGCAGCATACCTACAGAGAAAATGCAAGTGGATTAAAGCAGGCTTTAAGATTCTTTGTGAAACAGACACTTGCAGTTCTACTCAGACATGAGGATTGAGGCCTGTGCTCAGAGCAGTCCATGGACTCACCCTTGGCTGTGTCATAGACGCCGAAGTATGAAGCTCTGTAGATGATGATGCCCTGGACCGACACTGAGAAGCCCTGGTACAGGCCCTTCAGACCGTCAGCCTTGTAGATCTTCTTCAAGCAGTCACCCAGGCCGTTGAACTCACGCCCAGCACCGGCCTTACCGACATCAGCAGCCAGTCGGGTTCTGGCAAAGTCGAGGGGGTACACAAAACACAGGGAGGTAGCGCCAGCAGCACCGCCAGAGGCCAGGTTACCAGCGAAGTATCTCCAGAACTGTTTCTTGTCCACGCCATCCAGGAAGATTTGCTTGTATTTGTCCTTGAATGCAAAGTTGAGGGCCTGGGTGGGGAAGTATCTGATGACATTGGCCAAGTTGCCTCTCCAGAACGACAGGAAGCCCTGCTCCTTGGGGATACGGACGACGCAATCCATGATACCCTTGTACTGCTTGTCAACGGTGATCTGTTTGCTAGCATGTTGCACCTGTATTCACAAACACATCAAAAGCCAATGCTCAGTCTTTATACAATATATTTATAAAACTTCAAAGGGAAAAGGAAACGGCAGTTTAATGACAAAGATACAGAGGACATGGCCTACTTTATCAATAAAAGTGTCTCAACAGCATTCAATTTCCTTAGCCAACTAAATAAGCCAACACCCCTAACAACACTATTCATAGTAATTCAATGTTGGCAACATTGTGGATACATGGCTAACAGTGGCTAAAATCATGTAGACAAGAAGTTAGCTAGGTAACGTTAGTCAGCATCACCAAGCACTTCGCCTTTCAACGTTCCATTCACAATGTAGAAGGACCCGCCTCCTCCTCACTAGATTGGTTCTCGCTAGGCCTCAGCTAAACACAGGATGAAGCCTCCCCTTGTTGCGACCTTGGCAACTTCTCGGGCCTAGTAACTGCTAGTTACGTAATACTTGATGTCAGAGGACACAACGATGTTCAATGTCCAAGCTAGCTAGTGAACAAAGTAACTAGCTAGTAGGGATGCCAATGAGCATAACACATATACGGAGTCTTTAAACTTGTACAACAATGACGTTAGTCATTTGCAGCAAGCAAACTAAGAGTTAGTTAGCTAGTTAACGTTAGCCAAATTCCCAAACAAGACTCGGACACCGGTTTGCTGCTGAACTGACAGTTCCAAGTTGATCACACGCGACGAGGAACCAAAATGAACGAGTTACTCGCATCCTTTCAACCTTGCAAGGCACCAATGAAATGTCATTAGCTAAGTAAGCTACAGTAGATAGCTAGGTAACCCAGTTTAAAAAAGCACCCCCAAAAAAAGATATGGCGAGGAGTTACGTTAGTAACTTAGCCAGTTACTGTTAGTACCAAACGAACCCCTCTCATCCGGGTTAACGTTAGTACTGGACTGTAGCTAGAAACTAACAGTTAATTTCTGAAAAGCCAGTCAAACTTACCTGAAGTAGAAGCTTGATTCTTTCAATAGGGGCTACAGCTGTTTTGGAGATGGCAGCGGAAATACCACCAGCCAAGAAGTCCTTACCGAACGAGATGACGGTCTCATTCATTTTTTGTTGTTATCGAGGACGTTGATACAAGGAAACCTTCCCCTTCAACCAAGGACTGCTGAGATATGCCGGCTCAGTCGAAATGGCCGATTCGTTTAATTGAGAGCGGATTTAATGCCTCTATGTTCGCGAGACAAAGCGGGAGCTGAAAGGCGGTATGCCATTGGTGCGCTGGTGGATTTAGTGGGCGGAGACTATGTTTTTATGAACGTCCCCTAGCCTGAGAGATTTGTCCCGTCTTCATGAATTCAGCTGTGTTGTTCGCCCGTGCTCAAGAGTATTTATTTATTTCAAAATAAAAATTTAATTAATATCATACATGAAAGACTGGCCTATAATATTAAATGTGATAACATGAAAGTTATATCCAAGGTTTAAAATAGCTAATTTTGAGTTGATGTCATTCAATAGGTTGTTGGTTAAGTAGGCCTACATGGTTGTGAATGACACACCTTGATTATGCCTTACCAACCAAGCTTTTGGTTGGTGAGTTCTGGACCCAAGGTCATGTGAAAAGCATGGCAGCTTGGAGTAGCTGAAACAGAGACACAAGAGGAAGGCTGTGTTTACACAGGCAGCCCAATTCTGATATTTTTTTTCACTAATTGGTATTTTCAACAATCAGATCAGCTCTGATTGGTTAAAAGTCCAATTAGTGGAAAAAATATCAGAATCGGGCTGCCTGTGTAAAAGCAGCCTGAGTATACCAGACCCAGCTGCAACTGCATTGGTGTCTATGGGAGAGCCACCCCCTTAAGTAGACAGGAACTGACAATTTTTTCAATGGTAAACGGCCTGAGTGATCCACCATCTTTGGCTGAAATTCCTGTCTACTCTGAGTTAATGATCGGCTGTGAGAGGGCACTTAGATATAGGGGGGAAAAGGTCATCCCATTCACTACCAGGTTAAAATGTCCTTGACTCTGCAATTTCTCACAAGAGGATCACAAGATCTTTATATTTCTTAATTCCATTATTTTACTTTTAGATTTGTGTTTATTGTTGTGAATTGTTAGATACTACTGCACTGTTGGAGCTAGGAACACAAGCATTTCGCTACACCTGCAATAACATCTGCTAAATATGTGTATGTGACCAATACAATTTGATTTGAGATAAAATTCCTTTTAGATTAAATACCATGGTCAAGCAGATGATAATGATAATATTATAATTGATATAATTGGCATAATGATGTTATATTATTATGATATTGACACAACTTATCTTGTGTCCTACAGTTAAGTGAAAATAAGGATAATGATAGTCAGTCCTGTGATCAAACTTCCTTGGGACAAAAAAAGAATGCATCTGCTCCTCAAATATCCATTTAACAACTTACATATTTTGGGAAAATAAAATGTTGCTGTCTTTCTTGTATGACATTAGCCTACTGTAGTAAGGTGGTAGTGGTGGGGTCAGCTGGGACTAGGGGAACTAGCAGATCAGGTTACAGTCACCAGACTAGGGGTTTCTCGGTAGAGTGCACCGCTCAGAGCCTTTGAGATAGAAATCATGAAAGAACTACATGTGTACAGTCAATCTGTAATCTGTATTCAGCATTTCCATCAGAGACGTTCTCCTGAATGTAGTGTCCTGCCAAATATGATAATGATGGAGCAATTGCTCCATTCAGATCCTTTGTATAAGTCCGAACAACAGTTGTGATGTCATTCATACATTGTCAACCCATATTCAGAAAAGCCACACCTTGTTTAGCAAAGGAATTTAATTAAAATAACATTTTAATCGTCACATGCTTCGTAAACAACAGGCGTAGACTAACAGTGAAATACTTACAGGCCCTTCCCAACAATGCAGAGAAAGAAAATAGAGAAATAACAGAAAAGTAATAACACATAATAATAAAAGTAATAATAAATACACAATGAGTAACGATAACGTGGCTATATACACAGGGTACCAGTACTGAGTTGATGTGCAGGGGTACGTGGTAATTGAGGTAGATGTGTACATATATTTAGGAATAAAAGTAACTAGGCAACAGGATAGATAATAAAACAGTACCAGCACCGTATGCGATGACATGCTGACCACACCGCTCGCGTCGCAAAATAAATGTACACATACATGTTATTCAATCATTGCATCCACACTGATCGCGCACGTCAACGAGCGTCTGCATAGTAGCCAGGCACTAAAATAGAACTTGGTTCTATTTGTGACGCTTGTGTTGTCAACTCCTCAGTAAGGAAAGTAGCTATTGGTTGTCCTTAAAGTCGCTAAATGACGGCTTCACCTAATTTGCATAATTGGCCATGTGCATGTAATTGTGATGGACGCTGTAGGAGATAGGAATAACGTTGTGGGAGAGACAAAAAGTGAGTAAAAAACACCCTACATTTACTTCCCGCCCTGAATGTAAGCCAGGGCGGGATCAGCCAGCGGCGGCTTCCCTCATGCGTGATTCATTTGCAGTCTGGACGCGGAGGGGTGAACATCTCCTGCTCTGACTGTAGCTGGGAGGGACTGCTGCGCAAGGACTGGGCCGCCTGTGAGTGCTTTGGGATGGGGGTGGGGCCTGGGTGGGGCCCACGGCAGCACCCGCTGCTCGTTGAGAAGAGTAAGAACGATATGTGCTTTCACGTCAGAGTCTCCAAAAGTCTCCAATAACACCAGAAAAAGTCGCTAGATTTGTCGCTAGTCGCTTTAAAAAAAATTTGTTGCTAGAGGGGTCTGAAAACTCGCTAACTATAGCGACAAAGTCGCTAAATTGCCAACACTGCACTTGACGCGCTGCAAGTCCCGCCTCTCCCATCTCCTCATTGATTTTTAGGAGCATATACCCACGTGGGTAATCGAAAGATGAATTGATGTCCACACTCGTCCAGTGGTGGTGGTAATGCACCTTAAAGTTGGTTGCCAACCGCCATATAAAGTCCAAATAATAAGAAGAAGCCTGAAGGAGGAGAGATTACTAGAAACGAACTTGGTTTACCCTTTTATCTGTGGATTCATTGTTGGAGTAGAGGACCTTGTGCATTTCAGGTAAAATAACAATCCAATGTTTATATCCCAGGACAAATTAGCTAGCAACAGCAAGCTAGCTAGCTAAATTGACAAATGTTTAATGCTTTTCGACCTGGCCCCAAATTAATATAGTTGGTTCAGAGTTCGTTTTGATATTTCATCCAGCGTGTCCTGATCTCATCTGGTGTGGGTGGACAAAATCAACATGCACGCAGACGCACGCGAGCGGTCTGGTCAGCATGAGTCCAAAAAGTTAGTACAAAAAGGGTCAATGCAGTTAAAGATGCACTATGCAGAAATCGCTCCGCAATTACCTGGTTGCAAAAATTCTAATAGTTTGCCTAATATCAGTTTATGTGACAAAACAAGCAATGTAGAGAATCATTGTACCATCTGAAATATATTTTCCCATAACCAAAAATATTGTATTTTCAGCTGTTTGAAACTGGTGTACAAAACCAAAGTAAATGATACAAAAACGAAACTTAAGAACGGGAAGCATAGAAATATCTCACATAGAACAGATTTACCGCTTCTTAGACTTGCTTTCAATGAGTATGATAGATCTATAACTCACATTTCTATGTGAATTTTGTGGGGTTGCCCAAAAAGTTGAACTTTAACCAAATACCTACCCGGACTAACTATTTAGCAGTCATATGGCTTGGGGGTAGAAGCTGTTCAGGGTCCTGTTGGTTCCAGACTTGGTGCATTGGTACCGCTTGCCGTGCAGTAGCAGAGACAACAGTCTATGACTTGGGTGGCTTTGACAATTTTTAGGGCCTTCCTTTGACACCGCCTGGTATAGAGGTCTGTAGCTCAGCTGGTAGAGCACGGCGCTTGTAACGCCAAGGTAGTGGGTTCGATCCCCGGGACCACCCATACACAAAATGTATGCACGCATGACTGTAAGTCGCTTTGGATAAAAGCGTCTGCTAAATGGCATATTATTATTATTATTATTATTATAGAGGTCCTGGATGGCAGGGAGCTCGGCCCCAGTGAAGTACTGGGCCGAACGCACTACCCTCTGTAGCGCCTTGCAGTCGGATGCCAAGCATTTACCATACCAACGCCTCCTGAGGGGGAAGAGGCGTTCTCAGGTGTGTGTGGACCATGCTAGATCCTTAGTGATGTGGACACCGAGGAACTTGAAGCTCTCGACCCGCATGTTGGCTCGGCGCGCATGTTGATTTGGCCTACCACTTCGTGGCTAAGCCGTTGTTGCTCCTAGACGTTTCCACTTCACAATAACAGCACTAACAGTTGATCGGGGCAGCTCTAGCAGGGCAGAAATTTGACTAACTGACTTGTTGGAAAGGTGGCATCCTATGACGGTGCCACGTTGAAAGTCACTGCCAGTGTTTGTCTATGGAGATTTCATGGCTGTGCGCTCAACAGCCGAATCCACTAATTTGAAGGGGTGTTCACATACTTTTGTATACAGTAAGGGAAAAAAGTATTTGATCCCCTGCTGATTTTGTACGTTTGCCCACTGACAAAGACATGATCAGTCTATAATTTTAATGGTAGGTTTATTTGAACAGTGAGAGACAGAATAACAACAAAAAAATCCAGACAAACGCGTGTCAAAAATGTTATAAATTGATTTGCATTTTAATGAGGGAAATAAGTATTTGACCCCTCTGCAAAACATGACTTAGTACTTGGTGGCAAAACCTTTGTTGGCAATCACAGAGGCCAGACGTTTCTTGTAGTTGGCCACCAGGTTTGCACACATCTCAGGAGGGATTTTGTCCCACTCCTCTTTGCAGATCTTCTCTAAGTCATTAAGGTTTCGACCCTGACGTTTGGCAACTCGAACCTTCAGCTCCCTCCACAGATTTTCTATGGGATTAAGGTCTGGAGACTGGCTAGGCCAGTCCAGGACCTTAATGTGCTTCTTCTTGAGCCACTCCTTTGTTGCCTTGGCTGTGTGTTTTGGGTCATTGTCATGCTGGAATACCCATCCACGACCCATTTTCAATGCCCTGGAGGTTCTCACCCAAGATTTGATGGTACATGGCCCCGTCAATCGTCCCTTTGATGCGGTGAAGTTGTCCTGTCCCCTTAGCAGAAAAACACCCCCAAAGCATAATGTTTCCACCTCCATGTTTGACGGTGGGGATGGTGTTCTTGGGGTCATAGGCAGCATTCCTCCTCCTCCAAACACGGCGAGTTGAGTTGATGCCAAAGAGCTCGATTTTGGTCTCATTTGACCACAACACTTTCACCCAGTTCTCCTCTGAATCATTCAGATGTTCATTGGCAAACTTCAGACGGGCCTGTATATGTGCTTTCTTGAGCAGGGGGACCTTGCGGGCACTGCAGGATTTCAGTCCTTCACGGCGTAGTGTGTTACCAATTGTTTTCTTGGTGACTATGGTCCCAGCTGCCTTGAGATCATTGATAAGATCCTCCCGTGTAGTTCTGGGCTGATTCCTCACCGTACTCATGATCATTGCAACTCCACGAGGTGAGATCTTGCATGGAGCCCCAGGCCGAGGGAGATTGACAGTTATTTTGTGTTTCTTCCATTTGCGAATAATCGCACCAACTGTTGTCACCTTCTCACCAAGCTGCTTGGCGATGGTCTTGTAGCCCATTCCAGCCTTGTGTAGGTCTACAATCTTGTCCCTGACATCCTTGGAGAGCTCTTTGGTCTTTGCCATGGTGGAGAGTTTGGAATCTGATTGATTGATTGCTTCTGTGGACAGGTGTCTTTTATACAGGTAACAAACTGAGATTAGGAGCACTCCCTTTAAGAGTGCGCTCCTAATCTCAGCTCGTTACCTGTTTAAAAGACACCTGGGAGCCAGAAATCTTTCTGATTGAGAGGGGGTCAAATACTTATTTCCCTCATTAAAATGCAAATCAATTTATAACATTTTTGACATGTGTTTTACTGGATTTTGTTGTTGTTATTCTGTCTCTCACTGTTCAAATAAACCTACCATTAAAATTATAGACTGATCATTTCTTTGTCAGTGGGCAAACGTACAAAATCAGCAGGGGATCAAATTCTTTTTTCCCTCAGTGTAAATAGTGTAGTTTTGTCAGGGTGCCCGCACGTCAGCTTCTCTTGGCCTGCCTCTTTCACTTCTCTAATTGTGTACAGTACACACGTCAGCCACAGTCAATATCAACCATTACAATGACTGTTCAAGTACATTTCACTTCAATGATTCTCAATCATCTCAATCTAAAATAATTAATTATAGATTTGCATAGTTTCATCAATCAAATGTATTACATACCGTATACACCTAACCTGCACATTGGTGAAGCACATTGGTGTGCTTCAGTTACAATCTTATTGCTAGATTCACAACACACAATGATACATACAGTATGTGCTATGAAAGTTAGTGACTGATTAGTGGCTGGGACTCAATCAGATCCTTTGTGTGAATAATTACATAACTACCAGGCATAATTAAAACAGTCAGTGAAATAAGCCTTATAATAAATAAGGAAACCTTAAGGCACATAAATATGATATACCCAAGTCTGTTAAAATAGTCATGATAACAGAATGAACATAATGAAAAGCATTAATTGGCATTAGTAAGCTAATGTCATCTTATAACAGGTGTGTGTTTTGTGTTCCACTTCATGACATTTATGTAAGGCCAAGACCATATTACACAGAACGTTGGTGGCACCTTCATGGGGGAAGACGGGCTCCTGGTAATGGCTGGAGCGGAATGAGTGGAATAGTATCAAATACAGTAAAAAAAAAACTGTATAACAACGTTAGAAAATACCATAACCTTGCTCTGAACATACAGTAAAAAAAATATTCCATGTGTCAAGTATAAAAGTGCAATTCCTATGATTGCATTGCAACTTTAAAATACAATACAGCATGATTAATGTCTATCAATAGATGTACCTCTGATTCTGAAATCAGACCTGACATCAACCAAATTGTCATCTTCAAAGTATTGAATTCCAACAAATATTCCTGACTCTTTTTGATAGTTCAGACACTTTCCTATACTAATGGTCATCATCCCCTTGTGCAGGATTTGTTGTTACACCAGTTTCACCAGCGACTTCCTTGCTGTGACTGAAAGTTCCTATTCTTCAGGTACCGCTTCACCTCTTCCACCTCAGTAGGGCCCATGCTCTGGTCCACGCCTGGTGCCAACTTATAGCTCAATGGAGACACAATGTACCCGTTGCGGTACAGACAGACCTGCTTGCACATCTCAAAGCAGCTGAAGAGAAGGCCAAAGTAGGGGACAATCTGAGGAGGACAAACAGGGAAGATGTCAGTGGGCTCAATAGATCAATTGCTTTTGAAGTGTCTCTGTATAAAATGTGAAGAGGTAGGTTAAAATCTGCCCTGGTAGTAGGACCTGGTTATGATCTTCCTGTCCACAAAGTACACTATTTACTTGGTAGACTGTTCATGAGAGGAGATTTTACACCAATAAAAGAAACAACTCCACTGCCATCATGAAAAGCCATTTGGAGATGAAAGATGAGAGCAGTGCATGCTGTTCAAGGATCAGACCCACATCTGCCAGCTTGTAATAACCCTGTTATAAATTACCCACAAAGCACATCTCTCTCAAGGTCCTCTCCCAAGGACTGGGCCATTCTACTGTTTCACACTGATATAAAAAATGGTATTGGTTTGATAAATGTGCATTGGCTGTATATTACTATATCTATTACTGCACTATATCTACAGCTGACAAGACTGAGGAGGACTGGTAGAGGGTTGGGGGTAGAGCGCAATAAATCATTATGGTAATAGGCTAATGTATAACAAAAATGATGGGAACATGACTTAGGTGGTCCTACCTTGACCATGTTAGCTGTGAGGCCACTCCACAGTGTCAGGATGCCCTTGCTTCTGATCACCTGCCTGAAGCAGTCCAGCATTCCAGTGAAGTGGACATCAGCGCCGCCATAATGGGGGAGCCGAGGATTCTGGGCCTGGCGAGAGAGAGGAGGACAAAAATTCCTGATTAGATGAGTCATGACAGTTATGTAATGAGAGAGGTTTCCAGTTAGACCAGTTACTAGGAAAGTGATCCTAGAGAGCACCAGTATAAAATAAATGCATTTAGGATCAATTAATGACAGATATTTGGGACAAACTCATAAGCGTGTGTGATCCAAGTAGTGACCCACATGAAAAAAATACTATGGTCTAAATACTGTAGTATTACTATATTTTTATACTATAGTATTCACTGTAGTGTTTTTGCAGACTTTACTGTAGTGTTTACTGTAGTGTTTTGCGGACATGACTGTAGTATACTGTAGTATTTACTGTAGTGTTTTTGCGGACATGACCGTAGTATACTGTAGTATTTACTGTAGTGTTTTTGTGGACACGACCGTAGTATACTGTAGTATTTACTGTAGTGTTTTTGTGGACACGACCGTAGTATACTGTAGTATTTACTGTAGTGTTTTTGTGGACATGACTGTAGTATAAAGAATGGCGCTGAGATGTATAGCTAAGACTGCACTCAATTAGCAATATAGGGCCATAAACCAACAAGAAAATGCTCATCCAAAGGCAGTGCTCCTAGTAGCTGGTGATTTTAATGCAGAAAAACTTAAATCCGTTTGACTTAATTTCTGCAACGACAACGCTATCTAGCAGTCCAATCAATCTAAAAATGTGAAAGAAAGCACTACGTGATGAGGGATACAAGTGTGTAGTATAGTATTCTACAGTATACTACAGTTTACTATAACATTTTAGTATTTTTTTATGTAGGGAGAGAGACTATGGAATGAATGGAATGATTTTTATGAATGGAAATTCCTGACATTTACGATAATTGCTCAAACCGGGGTTCTGTGCTAAGGGACATTTATAACTTGGATGCCACATGACTAGCTATATCCTGACTGCAGCACTGAAGTCATTCATTACGATGACTCTTCACTCACCAATTTGATATAAGTGAAACCAAATTAACTGAGCAAATGTGGGTGTGGTCTCAGTACTCTCACAGACAGGACATCAGTATCTTACATGTCCCAAAACAAACTGTGCTTTCCTTTTGTCAAGCATGAACCACTTGACTGGCTCCACCTTGGATGCATTCGCATGTTAGAGGGCACTTTAATCCATGAGAATAACCATCCCCCAAAGACAACACACTTCCAGTGACGAGGCCTTGACAGATCTCAAAGGCTGAGTTTGTTAAGGAAATGCTACTGGCTGGCTGGTGAAACAAGAACTGCACCCATGCTTTAAGCTTCCTTAAAAAATGTTGCTTGTGGGTCGTGTCATCCGTCTCTAATTGAAGTTCTTGTTTTGGCCAAAAAAATCTAATAAACTTCTATACAAAACGGGAACAACAAATATATTTCTTAATTCTGTGTGTCTGAAACTAGGCAGAGGGCATTAAAGAGAGGTGCAGTTTGTTTTATGGGCTTCTCAATTGGAGTGAGACTGTGCTTGTTCACTGTGTGATAGCTGTCAGCTATATTTAGAGAACTTATCTAGAGCGCAGGCAGACCCTGAACAGCATTCACATTCTCAGCTGCCGCAGCACCTTGTGGTCACTAATAATACATTGATAAAAACGGATGTAGTATTCCGTCCTTCATAGAAGTCCTATTGAACCCTATGTGTCCTCTCATTCATACAGAGAAGGACATGTTAGGGGAGACATTAACTCATACATCAGCCCAATGTATGGTATTTGCCAATAACTATGGTCAGTTATTGTAGTTTAAAGTCTATGAAGAAACTGTATTATTCATCTTAGTGTAAAACTTTCAAAGCGTGACTATCTTTTTTGGCTAATTTCTAAGCTTCTATGTTGCATTTTGTTTAGAAAGTAGAAAAAAACGCATGCACTCGTAGGCTACTTTATCAAGGGCAAGTGTTTTGCTGTGTAAGGACAAGTGTTTTACTACCGGTATGTACTGGTCAGAGATACCGGTACAAATGTGTACAAATGCACCACCCTATGGATGGATGTGGTATTACCAAATTAGTTGTGTCTCATAAAATGGCCCAATGAGTTGAGTGCGCTTACCTGCATTTTCCTTTTCACAGTTTCAAAGGGGTAGGAGAGTGTTTGGGCCACTCCTGCAGCTATGCAGCCATTGATGAAGTTCTGTAGGGGAGTGAACCGGAATTGGGGCTCCCGCCACAGCTTGTCCAAGTTGATGTAGACTGCATAGCAACCAATAGAGAAGGGAAATGCACCTGTAGCAGAATAGATCCACAGTTACTAGCTATGTCAACACTGCCTAATAGAACAACATATCATCATGATATAAATATTCTCTGTTTGGCTGTTCCAAATTTCAAACAACAATGAAAGCTCTATAAGCTGTAAGAAAGGGTGTTTCACAAGTAAGCAGACTGGACAAACTTTATATAGAGTTATCCTAAATCATTGTGTGGCTTTTCTTAGGAATATCTTAATCCACATTTCTGTAGTATACAGACATAAGTGTGTACCTAGGATTGTGAGAGAGAAGCCCCTGTAGAGTGCTCGAAGGCCTTCGGTCTGGTATATCTTAGAAAGCGTGTGGACCACCCCCCTGTAGGTAGGCTCTCTGCAGTTCTGAGCTATGAGGCGAGTCTCTGCCACCTCCAGAGGGTACGTGGCCAGCGCAGCACTTATACCAGCTAGCCCACCAGCAAAAATTGCCCTCCACTGAGAGATGTAGCCCAATTCATCCATGTGGAGGTGGACGATCCTGGAAAGTCAAGAACACAGAGGTCAATGTTTTGGTTCTTAATTATCTTTATAAAGGAACCTATTTTGAAAATATATTTACTTTAATCAATGCATACGTTATTCATGAGACAGGTACAGCTAGTGAATCCTATTATTATTATGTATGATTATGGCTTCTGGCTTCTGGAAATTCTAGCAGTAAGTAACTGTATGTTACATAACTGTAATAGCATCTAATTCAAGAACAGTTCAAATTTTTCTGAGAGTAAACATACTAACTGTAACAGACTGAGTATCTAATTCAAGAACAGTTGTAATTTTTCATAGAGAGTAAACATACCATGCAAATTCAACATATCATGTTCTCCATTGAGAATCCACCATCATACGTCAGAAAATTAAGATGGTGTCGAAGTAGAGCTGCAGTAAATGTCATCTGATACTTTATGGCTGTTTATTAATCTGACAAACTTTATTTAATATATATTTACTGAAAGTCAAGGAAGGAGAGGAGCTGCCCTCTTCTTGGAAGCCCTGCGTGGAACACGATGTACAGAACATTTCCCTGCCGTGCGGGGCAGGGGTCGTGTTTACATGTGCACATGCACTGACGCGTGAGGTCTTACTGTCAACGCTAGAATAGAAAACACTATGTACCATAACTCCTCAGCTATCATGGCATGGTCGAATGTGACCATAAAAATCGAGAAGTTAGGCATGCCTACTTATCAATTTGTTTAGCTATGAAGTGACACCATACTCGGCTGAGTTTTAAGAGCCGTCTGATTGGACAATGATAGAAGGCGTGTCCAACAGGAATCTTTAGAGAAACGGAAGTGAGTTGGATGGAAATGTGTGACACTAGCTAGCTTTATTTCTTTATTTACTAACTAACTAGCTAGCTATACCAGTTCCGCAGACGACGTCGAAGTATTCATAAAATGTATTTGCAAAAATGTCAACCCAGTAAAAAGACGTGCTGCTTTTTGTTCCAAACATGCCCTATCAGCCTGGTTGGTTATCGCTAACTAGCATGGTAATTAAATTAGCTATACTGTTAGATAGCTGTAACGTTATAGTTAGCTAGTAGCAAACTAGCTACTTGTCTAAGATTAATGTTATCATAACTCAGAAACAACACACCAAATTGCTTATTCACTCACTGTTTGTATGTTGCCAAATGGACGACACTGTAAGGAAACAGGCGGAGACAGGAGACGAGGTTCCCTTTCCAAAATCCTCGTATGCCTTCATTCTGGTAGACAAAAAGAAAGCTGTGGAGAAAGCCTTTTTTACAGTGAAATGTGCCCACTTGACTCTTAATTTTCACCACCTCCAGGGGCGACGTAACAGTTTTACTGAAAACTCCCGCAAAACCAACGCACATGAAGCCCTGAGATCTTGTCAGTCTGTCATCTGGTTTAACTGTTGCCATTATTACTCTAGAATATGTATGTAACAAACTTGTCTTAGCCGATTCTGCTACCTCATCGGTAGATCTATATTGTCTGTAGGACCAGCAGCAGGGCTTGTTTATCTAAATGATGATTGAAAGCAAGCCCCACAGGCACAGTCATCCGGTATCCTGTCACGTTGCTCTGAGGGGAGGTGGTGCTGAGTACACTGGACACGGGAGGCGTGGGGACATCTAAGGTTCTCTTTCCAGGAAAAATGTTGTCCCCTGGTAGCTATTAATGTATACATGTAGGCTACTAGTGGTGCGCGGGTCAGGTGTTCGTTCACCCGCAATGGCTAATAACCCATCCGCAACCGCCTATATGTGATAAAGTGAAAATCTAAGGCCTGCACCCGACCCTAACCCGCTAATTTAGAAAATGCTCTGTAGGCTACAGTCAGAGACGGCGAAACGATTTTTTGCCTTTTGCCTGATTTACTGTAGATATGTTTCCGCTTATAATTTCCGACATTTTTGTAGGCTATTTGTTAGTCAACTTGTCTATAGCCTAGTTACATGCAGCTTCTCATCTGTCATTATATCTGGCCCTAGAAGACTAAATAAACCCTTGCTCACCAGAATAATGTCATAAATCGATAGAATGACAACCCGCCCTTCATCCACACAATATTTAATTACCCTAAACCCGCCAGCCCCGGTTATGCGCTTTATGAGTCAACCCGCAGCACGAACATGTCGCCTACTGTAGGCTACTTTACTATCTTGTATGAATTAAAAAGCCATGAAAACATGAGCACGTGGTAGTAGGTCAAAGTTAACTGCCCCTAGTATGGCCCTAAAATATGTCAAGCCAAGAGGATCATAGATTTAATGTCTTATTGGCACAGAGGTAGATGTATGTATCCTGGAAAGGTATACAGTGAGCTCCAAAAGTATTAGGACAATGACACATCTTTTGTTGTTTGGCTCTGTACTCCAGCACTTTGGATTTGAAATGGTACAATGCAGACTGTCAGCTTTAATTTGAGGGTATTTTCATCCATATCGGGTGAACCGTTTAGAAATTACAGCACTTTTTGTACATAGATAGTCCCCCCATTTTAGGGGACCAAAAGTATTGAGACAAATTCACTTATATGTGTATTAAAGTAGTGAAAGGTTAAGTATTTGGTTCCATATTCATAGCACGCAATGACTACCTCAAGCTTGTGACTATACACATTTGTTGGATGCGGAGTCACTTGTATTGTAAATAAAAATATAATATGTTTCAAAAAACTTCTACGTTAATGTGGATGCTATCATGATTACAGATAATCCTGAATGAATCGTGAATAATGATGAGTGAGAAAGTTACAGAAGCATAAATATCATACCCCAAAAATGCTAACCTCCCCTATTATTGTAATGGTGAGAAGTTAGCATGTCTTGGGGGTATGATGATATTTGTGCGTCTGTAACTTTCACACCAAGTTGAGAGTCTATATTTTATACTGAACAAAAATTTAAACGCAACATGCAACAATTTCAAATATTTTACTGAGTTACAGTTCATATAAGGAAATCAGTCAATTCATTAGGCCCTAATCTATGGATTTCACATGACTGGGCAGGGGTGCAGCCATGGGTGGGCCTTGGAGGGCATAGGCCCACCCACTTGGCAGCCAGGCCCACCCACTGGGGAGCTAGGCCCAGCCAATCATTTACGTTTAAATGTTTAGTCATTTAGCAGACGCTCTTATCCAGAGCGACTTACAGTTAGTGAGTGCATACATTTCATACTGAATTAATGAGTTTTTCCCCACAAAAGGGCTTTATTACAGACATAAATACTCCTCAGCACCACCCCCACCCCCCTCAGACGATCCCACAGGTGAAGAAGCCGGATGTGGAGGTCCTGGGCTGGCGTGGTTACACGTGGTCTGCAGTTGTGAGACTGGTTAGACATACTTCCAAAATCTCTAAAACGACGTTGGAGGCAGCTTATGGTAAAGAAATGAACATTAAATTCTCTGGCAACAGCTCTGGTGGACATTCCTGCAGTCAGCATGCCAATTGCACGCTCCCTCAAAACTTGAGACATCTGTGGTATTGTGTTGTGTGACAAAACTGCCCATTTTAGAGTGGCCTTTAATTGTCCCCAGCACAAGGTGCACCTGTGTAATGATCATGCTGCTTAATCAGCTTCTTGAAATGCCACACCTGTCAGGTGGATGGATTATCTTGGCTAATGAGAAACTCTCACTAACAGGGATGTACACAAATTTGTGCACAAAATTTGAGAGAAATAAGCTTTTTTGACCGTATGGAACATTTCTGGGATTTTTTATTTCAGCTCATGAAACATGGGACCAACACTTTACATGTTGCTTTATACTTTTGTTCAGTGTAGATGCAATTGGAACTGAGTTGATAGCCCATGGCATTCCAAAGTATAAAGTCTGATGGCACCGGCATCCATATTGCCTAAATTGACTATATCAGTGACCATATCGGTGGCCATTTTAGGTCGTACCTGGTATGTCAGATTAGCTCAATAGCCAATTTCTCAGCCTCTTGAGTGTCACAGCAACCGCACTTTGAATGAATTTTCATTACAAGTGGCCATGGTAGTATCTGTTAAAAACATACAAAAACGTATATTTTGAAACATACATTTTTATATAAATGTGTGAAGATTTTTAAATATATGCATATTTTGGGGAATTGAAACCATTTACTTGTGTTACAAAAGGTTAATTGAAGAAAATGTGTTACTGTTTGACAGAAAGTGTATTTTTGCCATCATTTCCAATTTGGGGTCAGAAATGTCCCCTGATGTTGCTTTTAGGGGTCGGGATATGTGCTTTTAGGGTTAAGTGAGCCACAAACTCCATTGTTCACAGGAAACAAATAAGATTCATGAAGGGGTTCAGTTTGCTAGTGACTAGTTAACACAGCCACAAAGTCATAAACCCCACCTATTTCTACAATTTATCTTCTTAAAATGTGATTTTAAACTTAACTATAACCTTAACCACACTGCTAATCGTATGCCTAACCCTAACCTTAAATGAAGACCAAAAAGCACATTTTTGTTTTCAACAATTTTTAAGATATAGCCAATTTTGAATTTGTGGCTGTGGTAACTGGTGGAAAGCGTTCATCTTCCACCAATGATCAATTAATGTATTTATTTAAAAGACCACTAGGGGGTGGTCTAAACCCAGTAACCTTATGCAGTGGAACTCAATGCAGTGTGTCACTTGCACCAGATGACAGGTTGCATGGTTCTATCCCCGGTCCCAAAAGCACAGTACCCTGTTCTTTGTTTTTGTCACAAGATGGCGCACTCAGAGCATACAATCCTATATGATAAAATATTTTTCTGGTGACAGGAGGCCATTCCCAAAACTCCAGAAAATCCATGAGACTATTAACAGTTTACTCTTATATTCTGAGTATGGCATGCATCAATATAATCTAGTACAGTATAATTGGATGGTACCAATTTTGCTGTGGTGGAAGTTTTATGAATAACCCTCCCCTTATGTGTTGACCATGCATGTCATAGAAATATCATGAGATTACTTTCTACATTAATTCTTATTTGGGTTTAGGTAGGAAAGCTTAGTGGTTAAAAGCATTGGGACCAGTAACCGAAAGGTCGCTGGTTCTAATCCCTGAGCCGACTAGGTGAAAAATCTGTCGATGTGCCCTTGAGCAAGGCACTTAACCCTAATTGCTCCTGTAAGTCGTTCTGGATAAGAGCGTCTGCTAAATGACTAAAATGTAAAAATGTAAATGTAATTGAAGGTGAAAAGTTCATGATTGTGTAAGACATTCCCATTTTCATATTTAGTTGGGCCATACATATACCCCCACCCTCCCTCATCTATCTCTCTCTCCTATTTACCAGCAGGGTCTTGTAGTTCCTTTCCTGTTAAGGTCCATGTTTGTTTTCTGCCTGTGTCTACCTGCTAGGAGCACCTCCCTCCCCTGCTGGGCTGACAACCTCAGCTGCCTGTGAAGAGCCCACCTCCTGTCGGTGGCTGGGCCACTTGGCTCATTCACAAAGGCTACTGGAATAACAGAACCCTCCAGAGGAAATGACAGCCTGTCCAAAAGAGGTTTGCCCCCCTCTTGCTCCTCCTCGCTCTGGGTCTTCACGGGGGGTGGGGCAGGGTGTGGTTGGGTGTGTGGGTGAGTGGGAATGCTGTTTACCGTTAAATGCTGAGCTACTAATCTTGATGAAAATGGGGGCAAAGAGGATAAACCTAGATTATGAATGATCAATTTAAGTAAAATGGTTCACTTGTTCATATTGCTATGGAAACATCGTAGATAGAGAAATACACTATATATACAAAAGTATGTGGACACCCCTTGAAATTGGTGGATTCGGCTATTTCAGCCACACCCTTTGCTGACAGGTGTGTAAAATCGAGCACACAGCCATGAAATCTCCATAGACAAACATTGGCAGTAGAATGGCCTTACTGAAGAGCTCAGTGACTTTCAACATGGCACCGTCATAGGATGCCACCTTTCCAACAAGGCAGTTTGTCAAATTTCTGCCCTGCTAGAGCTGCCCCTGTCATCTGTAAGTGCTGTTATTGTGAAGTGGAAACTTCTAGGAGCAACAATGGCTCAACCGCGGAGTGGTAGGCCACACAAGCTCACAGAACGGGACCGCCGAGTGCTGAAGCGTGTAGCATGTAAAAATCATCTGTCTTCAGTTGCAACACTCACTACCGAGTTCCAAGAACTGTTCTTCTGGAGCTTCATGAAATGGGTTTCCATGGCCGAGCAGCCACACACAAGGCTAAGATCACCATGCGCAATGCCAAGCGTCAGCTGGAGTGGTGTAAAGCTCGCCGCCATTGGACTCTGGAGCAGTGGAAACGCGTTCTCTGGAGTGATGAATCATGCTTCTTCATCTGGCAGTCCGACAGACTAATCTGGGTTTGGCAGATGCCAGGAGAACTGTAAAGTTTGGTGGAGGAGGAATAATGGTCTGGGGCTGTTTTTCATGGTTCGGGCTAGGTCCCTTGGTTCCAGTGAGGGGAAAACTTGACTCTACAGCATACAATGACATTCTAGACGATTCTGTCCTTCCAACTTTGTGGCAACAGTTTGATGAAGGCCCTTTCCTGTTTCAGCATGACAAAGCCCCTGTGTACAAAGCAAGGTCCATACAGAAATGGTTTGTCGAGATCGGTGTGGAAGAACTTGACTGGCCTGCACAGAGTCCTGACCTCA